AATATTTCACAACCTGTCAAGGTGATTGATACCAGTTGTGGGGATAGACACCATTAGGTGGCATTGATTGGTACAGAGCCAGGAGAATTTATACCTTCATTTGAAATTCATCTCATTTTTCTTCTCTTTATCTCTCCTTGTTTTAGGACATCTTATTCATGTTATTCCTCTCTCATTGTACCGATTATTAATGTAAAATTATCAGGAGAATAATTGGCTAATTAAAATCAGCAATTTTGTCTTTGCTCTCAACAAAGACAAAATTTTAATTTCTTTGGGAAATTTCTGAGGATAATCAAACAATATTTCAAAAAAGCAAAAACACTGAAAAAATCATAAAAATTAACATATTTTACCTTTTTATACAAAAAAAAAAACCCACAAGCACAGAGGTGTGTCTGTTGATCATGTACAATATGCACTACTGGAAATGCTTGTCGCAAGTATTTTTGTCACTAATGGGAAGGAACTAAAGTGTTCTTTCCTGAGCATTAAGTGATCAGATTTTGCTACTTCAATTGTTTTTTCTACATCTGCAGAGGAATTGACACTATGATCTGATTGATTGCTTTTTATTTCTACTGCCAAACACCACACAGCATTCACGTGCTGTTTCCATGACCTCTACTCCTCAATCTCTGTCTCCCTGTACCCACTCTATTCCAAATGCTTAGATACTAGTTATAATACCTGGGCTTAGCTTTGTGTAAAGAGAAAGAGAAGAGGACCATAACAAGTGAATGCTGCCTTCGCTACGAGAGCTCTAGGTTTCTCTGACCCGAAAGGACTTCAAAATTTTCCTCTCAATTTTTACTTTCAATTTTAGTCTTTTGCAGGTTGTTAAGTATTACAGAAAACGACTTCCTACATAAGCTATGCAGAAATGAAATGGAATTTAATTGAATTTCTACTTCAAAGGTTAATGATTTCTGGTTTTCGAGTGCACACAAAGCCGGCAGGGAGTTGTTAAAAATGCAGTTCTGATCCAATCACCAAACCATCTGATTTAGTGGGGTGTGGGTGAGTGCCTTTTATTACTCTGCTGGTTGGCATTAGAAGCAGGATTAAAAGTCAGATATGACTCCCTATCTACCATGATTCAACGTTCCCATTAAAGTTCTAAAATTTTAACAGCAAAATTACAATTATTTAATGTTCAATGTATGTTTTGTGATGGACAAGGGGGTTCTTGGTTAGAAAGTATATATTCTTCTAGCCAAGGCTGGGTCTATATGTCATCTAAAGAGTAAATCAGCATCTAGAACTGTGCTTTCCAGAGAGTACCTACTAGCCATAGATGATAATTGAGTACTTGAAATGTGGCTTGTATGCTTGAGAAATGAAATGCTTAAATTTCATTGAATTGTAATTGACTTAGATCTGAATATCTATAGGTGGATACTGAATTATTCAGGCTAGGATAGAAAATGTCCATCTTCATGAAATGTTTTCTTCAGAGCTGCTGTAATGTATCCCTCCATCTCACTCTATGAACATCCTCAATGATTTGAAGCAATGTTACTCTTTAATTAAAAAAAAAAAAAACCTGCCAAAGATCAGTGTCAGAGATGGCCACTTAAAGTGAACTGATGTTCCAATGCCTTTGTTCTCAGAGTTGTTCCAGTTTAAACTAAGGCCAAGTAAGCTGTATCTTTACTCTAAACCCTTCACTACATGGCATTAGCTAAGTGTGTGTGGGTAAATTGCCTTGGGTTTCTGATATCAGTTTTTTCATTTGTCAATGGGGAAAGCTACCAATCACATTAAATGTGTTAAAAAGAAGCAAAAGTCTGAATTTACTGCTCTCCTCTTTATTTGATCTGAATCAGAATTATGACAATATAAGTTGCATATTAGCCAAAAAAATCCACCTAGTGCCTCATGTTCAGTGAAAAAGTTCCTGGTCATTTACATTTAACCTCTCTGAAAAAACTCCTAGGAAAGGGTGTTCTGCTTAATTCTCTTTTAGATGATCATTCCTTCTGTTTTGCTCTCGTGCAGTTGTCACTTGTACAACAGCTATGGGTTGCTCTTGACTCTCAAATCCATGCTTAGCTTCTGCACTTAGACTCTGGCACAGCATGGCATATTTGTTTACTTAAGATAAGCCTTAGGATTGAGGAGAGTTAAGCAAGCAAATGCAGACAAAAAGATGGTGTGGAGAAATTGTGATATGGATTCCTTAAAAATGCTTTACTTTTTAAACTCTTGCATTTAATGAACATCACTGTCCAGAGCTTCCATCAGCTAAGACATCATGTAAGACCTGAACCACCAACATGTGAAGGAATAGACATTAGAATGCCATTAATAAAAGGAATTTTTTCATTTAGTACTTTTCATTAAGTTATTACAATTGATGATTAGAACCACAACAGAGTGAAAAAAAGTTTAATACCAGTGTCAGAAACATGCTATGCTACACACACACACACACACAGATCGAGAGACTGGCATTTTGCAACATAACTCTTAAGTTGTAATTTGTGAAAGAAAATGTAAAAAAAAGCAAGTACATACTTCAAGAATTAATATGATCAGAAGCATTTGGCATTTTATGGCAGTATGAAGAATATATTCCTAAATATTCCAAACATACTATGAGCTTTTTCTCTTCCATAGTTATCCCTTAGAATTCACGGCATCTCCTTATTTCCCAGTCTTTGCAAATAGCATAAGCTGCTCTGTTTTTACAGGAAGGAAGCATTAGTTTGAAATACTCAGATTCAGTTTTAGCTTTAGATGTTTTGTAGAAGGTAACTTATAAAATCACTGAAAGAGGAGGCAAGGACATTTAATATAGGTTTTGTCTTTGTGCCTAAGGACTTGACCTCACAATTGTAGATGCCACTGTAAACATGACTCTCAAAGATCTCTTTAAAAAGTAATACAGGAACTGTTAAAACAACAACAACAAAAAAGCAGAATTTGCTATTTACACCTGCAGAATGAATGAGCAACAAGAAAATATATTCTAATGTTGTACAAATTCATAGCCATTGCTTGGGACAATTTTTCATTGATAGAATTATACACACTTTCAAAAAGTGCTACTAAGCAAAATTGTTTCATTAAATGCAGGCACAGAAAATAGCAATAGCAATGTACCTAAATTAATATATTTTATGCTGTTCTAAATATGTACAAGTAACCAAATTAAAAAACTAAATAGTATAACCATTTACTATACAATGATGTGCTACATAACTTAATAGTTACCTGTAGTTGAGTGTCAGTAACTGAAAACTTGGAAGGCAAAACCACAGATAATAGAGGGAATTCTGCATAGGAGTTAAGTTCTAAGTTTTCAGGCATTCATTGGGTATCTTAGAACATATTCCTCATAGATAAAGGGGTTGGGGCTACTGTACTCAGATATTTGGAAAACACAGTTTTCAATTTTGGTTTGAAGGTATTTTTTTACAAGAGGTTAATATTAAAATGAGTAGACTTTTGATTAAAGCAGATTCCTTCCTATAATGTAGGTAGACCTTATTAAATCAGTCGGAGACCTTAAGAGAAAGTCTGAGGTGCCCTGAGGAAAAGGAAGTTCTACCTCCAGACTGCCTTTGAACTTGAACTGCAACATAAACAATTCCCTGGGTCCTTAGCTTGTCAGCCTGCTAGCTGTCCTGTCAACTTGAGCCAGGTGGACAACAATTTTTTCTTTTCTTTCCTTCCTTTCTCTCTCACACACACTCTCTCTTTCTCTCTGTTGCGTTCTTTCTTTTTTTCTTTCTATCCATCTACTCATCCATCTTTTTGTTTGTGTTTCTTTAAATTACCCTGATTAACACACTTTTCATTTCTAACTTTCTTTTTTAATAGCATGTGTCTTCTACCAATAAACTCTAAAATACGTTTGGTTCATGTTTATTATCTGTGTTTTTTCTTGAAGAAAATATACCCTATAAAGGCAGAGACATTGATCTCTCACTCTAATGCTTGGTACAAAGTGACACTCAATAAATATTTGTTAAATCAATGAATTAATGTCTTATCAGCCTTTTTATATATTACATATTTTTAAAAAACTAAAAAATTATTTTAAATCTAGAGCACTATAAAAGGCAAAAGCTATACTAGTGAACAAAATATAGTGAACACATATTTTACACAGATTGGGCATATTTATTAAACTTTATTTGGTTTTATTAGTTAAAATGAAATTAAGTTATCTTACTGTTATTCATAGAGTAATAAAAAATTAAGACTATGTTAAACAGATAATATGTAAATAAATATTTATAACATCTGTTGTTTAAATTTATTTAAAGCAACCCTTCCATATTTTCATTACAGATCATAGACTCGATTTTTCATCCATGTTATAACAATGGATGAAGGCTTAGAAACTTGGTACACATTATTAGTTGTTTATGTGAATTATAAAATGTAAGTTTCATTACTACTCTAAAGAAATTGAACCAAAATCTATCTTTTATCCAATTAGGAGCTCAAATTAATTAATGAATTCTAACTTGACTTTAAGTAAATACAGTTTCTTACCTAATTTTGCTTATTTTAGAAACAGAAAGACTTAACCTTACTGTGGAATTAATTTCTACAATTTTTACTTTCAGGCCCAATACATGAAAATAAAATTATTAAACTGTCCAAAATCATATAGGATCTTAAATCATATAAAATTAAAATGAATGAAAATAATTGTATACTACCAGGAGTAAGAAAAAATATTCAAACTATACACAAGACAGCTACAAGAATTAAAAAATAAAGTCCATAGAAAGAAGGTGATAAGTCATAAAAGCATTTTAAAAACAGAATTAGAACTGTTTATTTTATTAAAAAGTTGACATAGGTTATCTTTAGTGTTTATGACTTGCAAACTAAAGTATTTAATATTTAACATGTTTAAATACAAGCAGCAGCAGTTTGGAAATCAAAAGGAATAATTTGAATCATCTCAGAAAAATAAATTCATTATAATTAGGATATTTCAGAATATGATTAAAACATGTAAAAGAAAATGTATTCACCTTTCTTGTCATCAAAGTACAGAGTCTGTTGAGCTGGATTTGACCACTGGAGGGAGGTGTTATCATTTTGATCAACCCTGCAGGTCAAAATTGCTGTTCCGCCTTCAATAACCGTTACATTCTGTGTTAGTGGAAACTGCCCTTGGCTGCCTAAAAGGAGATTAAAGAGAATGTTGATTAAATGAAAGTTATAAAATGATTAACTCCCCAAGATCTGCATTGGACTTCACTTCTCACTTTCAATAAAATTTAAACCAACACAATAACAACAAATCTATATATTATGAAAGACAGAAAAATAATTGAAAATCCTTAATCAGAGGATGACACTTTTGATGTACTGTTATGACTCCTTTATACTCCCTTACATGTTCCAAAAACTTCTTTCTCTCCTAAGCACACATAAAGATTTACATTCAAACAGTAACATGATAATCATTAATTTTCCCTGGCCTTGTATTAATTTTGTGGTGCTAGATTGGGTCATTGCAGAAGATAAGGCAATGAATAATTTTGGATGAATTGAACTCTCTAAAGGAGCATATGAAACACATAAAATACTTTTCTGATAGGTTTTATAATGCTGAATAAAGCCTATGAAATATGAATATTAGAACTTAAGATTCAATTTTTGATAAAGGAAATTATAAAAGAATCCTATTTCACCAGGGTTTTTTTCTTAACTAGATGTAACTGTTTTTAGAAATACAAAATGTGTTATAGAAAGCAATGTGAATATTCTTTAAAGTGTTTATCCTGGAGAATATCCATCAAACTATTACAAAAGCCAGTCATAGTGGCACACACTTATAGTCCAAGCTACTCAGGAGATTAAAACGAGGATCCCTTGATCTCGGGAGTTCAAGGCCAATATGTGCAAGAGACTTTGTCAAAGGAATGAATAAAATATATATCTATATCTATCTCTATATCTATCTATCTATAGATAGATATAGAGATAGATAGATAGATATAGAGATAGATATAGTTATTACTGTAACTCAGTAGATTCAGGTAATATTCTTTATCATTTCATTTTGTAATTACCTGCTTTTCTCCAGTGAATATATAGTTCTTTTATAATCAGGAAAATACATATTCTTAAATTACCCTTGTCAATTTTGGTATTATTTCCATGTTCTCAAGTTTTCCATTTTCCTAAGTATTATACTAATTTATTAAAATAATTCATGTAATGTATTTAATAAGTGTACTTCAAATAGTTAAAACTAAACTCATGCATGCAAAGAAATTATAGATAAGTTTCACTTCACTATGATCTGGAGATGAGCTCCGACAAGTCTGATAGTTAGGATCAACATGGGTAAAAATTATTTTCTAGAGCCAGGTTAAAATACCATTATGTGAGCAATGTCATTCATTAAGTCAAATACAATTTATATACGCAAGAACATTAGAAGGACTTAATCACACCCATGAAATATATTTCCCTTTTCTTCTTTAGTTTTATAATGATTCTATCATTACTACAAGCACCACTTGAGGTTATGCTGGAGCTATTGGCATAAAAAAATCTTATTACCAAAAAGCCTGTTGATTGGCACCATAAGAGACAGAAGAGCCTGAAGGGAAAAATTTCTTTCCAGACCTTACTGACACAAGCACAGAGGTTCATGACCATGTTATATAATTAGGCCTATCAAGAATAAAAATCTGATATCAGGAGCTTTGTCTTCTCAATGCCAACCTCTTATAGTCACTATGGCAACTCCCCAGGATGTCTCTCTGTAATCTTTAGGGTGGAGTTTTAAAATTGAGGTTAGGATTTGTCTGGAATAAATTCTTTGATAGTTGACTTGAAAGTCAACCAGAGCCAAAGTGGGATGTGCTTTGCCGACAGCTCAGAGGTGACCTCGAGCAGGGAAACATGGAGAACTATCAATCTTGTGAAGTGAGGTGAGGCAAAAAACAGCATCAGAGAAAACACGAGCTAAGACAGAAAGAAGGAATAATTACCAGAGTTTAGCTCATAAATATGAAGCTCAATATGGTTTTAAGACACGTTTTTCAGGTTCCTTGGTATGAATGTAATGCATAAATTGAACAATCTGGGGATGATTCTTTAAGTAATAAAAAGCACACAACTGCTAATAAATATACATAGTTCTACTCAGGTGACATTTTGACTATCAACTGGTACATAAATAATGCTGTCTGCCTCTTTAAAGAAGTGGAAAAAGTGCAGTGATGCTTGCAACAATTTCATCCACTACATTTGCAAAATAATTTTCAAAACATCCCCATAAGAAAATATTATCCTTCTCATTTCACAGATGGGTAAACTGACACTGGGAGGTTAAGTGATTTTTTTTTCCCATGGTGAAACAAAGTCAATGAACCATTTGGAGTTTGTTCTGAAAGTTCAACATTTTTATTCTTACTTTCCATAAAAACTGCTGTGTCATAATAGCTTTATTTTATTTAAATGTGAATTAGACAACAATAAAAAAGTGAATGATCGTTTTTAACAACAAAACTTAAATTTTAAGTCAAATAAGAGAGGATTTCAATATTAACTACCTTTAAATCATCCATGCTATAGAGAATTTAATTTTGATAACTATTTCAGTCCTTCTTTACTGGCCTACTGAGGAAAGAAACTGGTATTTGTTAGGGTCTTCTACATGCCGGGTAGTTTACATATATCAGTACACATGAGCTTTGTCCTTCCAGGTAGGAGATTAGGACAGTGTCCTCCATCTGAGTGGATTCTGACTTTAAAGTACTATGACTTCAGTTCCCTGGGACTTGCAGCCTAAAATCCCTGCAGTCAAATAATTTAGTTTTTCCCAATAGAGAGCAAATTCATGTGGAGAATCTACTAATCCTAAATAACCTTAGGATATGTGGTTTCCAAAATCAATTCAAAAGCCTGTGTTATAGGCAGTCGAACTTCTTCTCTTGGGTCTGAATTGCCTTTCACTTGTGGTTATAACCTGCAGAGAGCATAGAGTTAGCTACTACTTTTCTCTTTTAACTCCTGATGGCTCAAGGTTGACATTCAATCTAAGAGAGTCTTTCCAAAGAAATTACTCATTTTTTCAGTTAGAAAAATTAACATTTTATCAAATTAAGAATTCATCCTCAATTCATTTATTATACAGATATTTTGTGGGACTATCGGATTTGTCTTGTATGGATCAACATTGGAACTATGGTTCAAGGAAGAGAAATTTGCTAAGGCACCTGCAAAACTATCAGAAACTTCAGAAGAGACAGTGATGTGGAGGAAGGAGACAATCTGCTTTGGTACAGTACTGATCTTGTTTTTCATCTGCAAGGATTGCTAAAAGGTACCACTTGTTTCATGACCTCCTTTTAAAATAACCTTGACTCTAACTGAGCTCATCCTGATCCTAGATTTTAGAGAAGTCATTCTTATCAAAGTAGCACATGATGGGATTTATGAAACTTCCACTTTGGAATCTCTGAAGCTGGCTATTTTTTAAGGATCCCCATTTTTTCATCACTTCTGTTTATGTCCTCTTATTATCTATATAATGATCTGTCTTTCATACTTAATTCTACATTAATTAAGATTATAGTCACAAGGCATCTAATCTTTGAATCAGCTATGGTACCCAACCTACTGCATTGTAAACTAAAGGTGTTCATTGTCTAAAGTGAATGTGTTTTCTTAGAACAATGACTGGTTTTTATAGGGGAATTTGTGACAGCAGCTTGACAAAACTATTTCAAGCCAGCTGCATTTATTCATGGATAAATTGAAGGGTAGAGGTAGAGACTAATTCTTCACTGAGAAAAAAAAAAGTACAGAAAAAGGTCAACCCTAAGAACTTTAAAGATATATTAGTAAGTGTCTTAAGATATTTTAAGTTCTGTTTCAAATAAATAAGAAGTGTATGTAAGAATATATAACCAATAGTAATTAAGAACAGAGATACCTAATGTTATTTCAGCACTGAAATGGGACATGAAACGATAGAAGTATGGCAAATATGTATACCAGAAAGAGGAAAAAAATAATATACAATAATATTTCTTGAATATTAAGTAAAATCCCTCCCTAAGCTTTCCTAGGTAGATGGATTTCTACAATTCTAAAAGCATTTTACTTTTCTTTTGTATCCAGTTTAATAGTCCCTTTCCTATCTTATCTCATTCCTCCAACATTATTAAGCCAGCTTTAAATATATGTGAAATGTAGCTAACTTGAATGGGGTGTTCACAATGTCCTAGGTCACTAGCTACAATTCTAACTGTGCTTCCTGTATCGATGATTTAATCTGCAATGACAAGCTTGTCATCATCTCTACCTTGATATTAGGGAACAAATGCACAGAGACCTTAAATTATATTCCCATAGTCTCATAGCTAGAAATCACACGAACTGTATTTTGAACTCCTCCTGCACTTTGTTTTCATATCTTACCTGCTTAATCACAGAGTGGTTATGAAAATAAACTGAATTTAATTCTGATTGCCTAACTGTGATAAAAGAAAAACATAATTTGTAGAAGCATTTTCAAAGATACATTTAGACCTACATACCTATTTTTAACAAATGAAAGGATGTTTAAAATTCTAGAAAAACCATGATGTGCTAGAGCTGGCTCACACAAATCCTGAGACTCTAGCTCTCCCCACTTCGTGCTCAGTGACATAGGTTTGGTAGCTTGAAATTGACCACAGAGGGAGTATTTTCACCATGGAAATTGGCAAACATTACAGGTCAATAAACTTCCCCATAGAGCAAGTTGTAAAATATTTATAGCACACCACTGAAAGATGTCATTGATGTCTCTTGTTGGGGCTGTTGCACATGTTTTTAGCTCCCTCCCCCCATCTGACCCACCTTTCTTTCAATAATTTTTTTTCTAATGGGCCTCTATTTACCTTCCACTCTGTAAAGAGTAGTGCTAGTATTCTTAGGCTGCCACATTTATTTCTATTATTACCAGTGGTTTAAAAACTTTCTATAGCTATACAGATATCATTTTCTAATTTATTGCTGTGAAAGGCACTTTAATGAAGAGGAATAATTCAATATCCTGAAAAGATAGCTCTCCTGGCTCTGTCTTGAAATAGACTGAGCAGCTGCCATTATCTCTTCACTGTTTCCATCTGTTATATAATTATGGAGAGAATAGTTAAAATCTTTCCTTGTC